TTCCTTTCTCCTGTGCTGCCAATTATGCCCCTGTGTTCCTTAAAAAAGTAACAATATTTAGTAATAAAAAGCCCCCAAACCTCACCAGCCTGCTTCATCTGGTGTAGCCCAAGGTACTGTCTCCCCAGGTTATGGGTCATCTTCTATAGATCTATGTAGGATGACTGCTCTGCTGCGTGACTTGTCCTGTCTCCCTGTCTCCCCGTGTTAGTATGTGCAGACCCAGGGAAGGGTCCCAGGACTGAAAACACGCCTCCATAAGTGGAGGACAGGGAAAGACTAAAGAAAAAGGCTGGCCACTCCATTCTGGTAATTAATAGAGTTTTTAAAGGGAAACTTACATATAACGTATATCTTGGGTGATTAGAAGATGAAATGGATCCCTGTGCTTCTAGGCAGGTGCCAAAGAATTATACATAGGGTAAAAGGTGGAAATCGTGTGGGTAAGTCGTACGTGAATGCTAGCAGGTACATACAGGAAATTACATGCTCAGTCAGGTCAAGGCAACAGCCTCTTCCCGGAGCCAGCATGTAGTGGGAGGCAGTGGAAGGGCACTGACTTACTCAGAATGAACATTATGATCAGATAGTCTCTAAGGGTGGCTTTACTGGCAAGCTATCTCTGTTCTGATCCAGGTCCAGCAGCGGTTACGTCATGGAACATTTTCTCCTTCACAGCGTCTCAAACTATCTGTGGTGAAGAATGAGGTGTTTTGTTTCATTTTTTAAAAATGTCCAATACATACATCATGTATTGATATTTTTAAAAATACAGAAGAAAATGATGTGAAAAAGACATACAAGTCGCATTTTACTATGATTAGATTCAATAGTTTACTGTCACTATAGCTATAAAAATTTCTGAACTCTTACTCTCTATTTGTGCACTTATTTCCTGGTGGATTGAAAGCAAACAGTTCCTGGGCCATACGTTGAGCAGCGCAGCCATAAAGGATACCCGGAAAGTGAGACCCAGTGGGATTGATGGGCTTCTTGGGACCAATCAGCCACAAGGGAGGAATGATCACAAAGTATGAACATGCCCCTTTGTTGGAGTCTTTGGTTGGGGACACTTTCCAGAGAATGAGCCATGAGATATAGGCAGGCACCCTCTAGGAGCACACAGCTTTGCTGTTTGTATGGCCCCCCTATGGCTGCAGTGCCTCAACGACTTTATTTGTTCAGACTGCTGAGTGTCCCCCGCCATTCCCCTAGGCTGGAGATTGGAGGCTGAGAGTAACTATTGCAGAGCTAGTGTTCCATGACACACAGAACAGGATCTTCGCCAAAAAAATTTGAAATGCTCGTTAATTGAATGCAAAGATGAACAAGGTAAGCTCTCTGTCCTCAAGAGTTCAGTGTTTAGAGCTTTTTCATAGATTAATGTACTTTTCTGTCTACTTACATGAGAAAAACGCTGTGTATTTCCTAGTCCAAAACTCTATCAAAAAATTAAAAATGGCAATTTGTAACACACTCAGCCAATCAAAAATCTCTGAATTCCTTCCAGAAGTAATTTATCGGTGCATGATCAGTTTCCTCGTGTGGGGAGTCTCTTTGAGGGCTATATCATAAACCCTAGCACTCCTAGTGCCCAGCTTAATGGCATGCCTGCCTGCATTCAACATTGGTTTTTTAAAAGATTGTATTTATTTAGAGAGAGGGGAGGGGAGGGAGGAAGAGAGGGATAGAAACACCCATGTGTGAGATACATCTATTGGTTGCCTCCTGCATGCCCCCGACTGGGTGACCCCCAACCCAGGCATGTGCCCTGGCTGGGAACTGAACTGGAGATCTGTTGGTTCGCAGGCCAGGACTCAATCCACAGAGCCACACCAGCCAAGGCTCAACATTTTTTTTTTATACTGTGGGTGGTGGCTGTGTGGATGAAGAAGCAGCAGCAGTGATGAGCAGCTGTGGTCAACATTTAGCTCCTAGTTACCAATCTATAAAATGGAGTTTATAATGCTTACCTCGTGGAACTATATACTCTAAGAGATAAAAGTAAGTAAAAGCAGCTGGCACAACACTCAAGTGCTCACTAAGTGTGTGTTGAAGCTGCTTAAGAGGTCAGAACATGGAATTGTCAGGCGGTTGCTTAGGTAATAAGAGAGCTTTCCTTGACTTTATCACAGTCGAGCACGATGATTCATGTTTAAAATTATTGATCAGGAAAAGGTGCATTATGGTTGGCATCATTTTAAAAATAAAGCAGGAAGGTGAGCAATGAACTTTAAGTTATTTCAAAAAATTTGTAAAACTGGACTTCTGGGTAAAGATGACAGAATGAGGCTGGACCACAGAATCTCCTTCCTCTAATACCTAATGAGATGAATGAGAACATTTATACGCTGTAAAATGTTATGTGAAATCCAGATCACAGAGGATAAGACCCTAACGATTTATAAAAATTCAAACGGAAGGAAATGCACATTTTTTGCTAGATATATTAAGATGCCTTCATTCCTCCCCCTATCTCCAACTAAAATTACCATGTAACCCATGGAAGACTACAGGTAATCAGTTGTTGCCAAGCAATATATAAAAATTAGATGACAAAAGTCTAAGTTTCTATCTTTTTTTAAAGTATATTTTACTGGTTAGGCTAATACAGTTGTCCCAATTTTTTCTCCCTTTTCTCCCCCTCTGCTCTGTATCCCCACACCCTCCAGCATTCTGTCCCCGCTTAGTTCATGTCCATGGGTTGTAGATGTAACTTCTTTGGCTTCTCCATTGACTATGCTATTCTTAAACTCCCCCTGGTCTATTTTGTGCCTACCAATTAAGCTTCTTATTCCCTGTACCTTCCCCGCTCCCTCCCCGCCCCCTGCCATTCTTCCCCTCCCTGCTGATAACCCTCCATGTGACCTCCATTTCTGCGATTCTGTTCCAGTTCCAGTTGATTGCTTAGTTTTTGTTTTTGTTTTTAGGTTCGGTTTTTGATAGTTGTGAGTTTGTTGTCATTTTACTGTTCATAGTTTAGATCTTCTTTTTCTTAGCTAATACCTTTAACATTTCATATAAGCACTTGGTGATGATGAGTTCCTTTAACTTGACCTTGTCTGGGAAGCACTTTATCTGCCCTTTCATTCTAAATGATACCTTTGCTGGATAGAGTAATCTAAGTTGTAGGTCCTTGCCTTCCATGAGTTTGAATACTTCTTTCCAGCCTCTTGCATGTAAGGTTTCTTTTGAGAACAGTTGATAGGCTTATGGGAACTCCTTTGTAGGTAAATGTCTCCTTTCTTCTTGCTGCTTTTAAGATTCTCTCCTTATCTTTAATCTTGGTCACTTACTTATGATATGTCTTGGTGTGTTCCTCCTTGGGTCCAATTTCTTTGGAACTCTCTGAGCTTCCTAGACTTCCTGGAAGTCGATATCCTTTGCTAGATTGGGGAAGTTTTCTTTCATCATTTTTTCAAATAAGTCTTCAATTTCTTGCTCTTCCTCTTCTCTTTCTGGCACCCGTATGATTCAGATGTTGGAACATGTAAAGTTGTCCCAGAGGTTCCTAAGCCTCTCCTCAGTTTTTTGAATTCTTGTTTCTTCATTCTGTTCTGGTTAGATGTTTATTTCTTCCTTCAGTTCCAAATTGTTGCTTTGAGTCCCAGTTTCCTTCCCTTCACTGTTGGTTCCCTGTGTATTTTCCTGTATTTCACTTTATAAAGCCTTCATTTCACTTTGTATAGCCTTCATTTCTTCCTTTATTTTGTGTCTGTACTCAATCATTTCTGTGAGAATCCTGATTACCAGTGTTTTGAACTGTGCCTCTGATAGGTTGTCTGTCTCCTCGTCGCTTAGTTCTTTTTCTGGAGTTTTGATCTGTTCTTTCATTTGGGCCGTATTTCGTCGTCTCAGTGCACCTGTTACATTGTAAGGGGTGGAGCCTTAGGTATTCACCAGGGCAGGGCAACCCACGTGGCTACCTTGTGGCACTGTGTGTGAGGGAGCGGGGTCAGAGAGGAAACAGTGCTGCTTACTCAGCTCTGGGCAGGCTTTCAGTTATTTCCCCCGCTTTCCACTAGTGAATTGGGCCCTTCTGGTGCCGATTCCTGGGTGGGTGGGTTTGTGTACATTCTAGGACCCTGTGGGCCTCTCCAATGAACTCTCCTGTGAGGCTGGGAGTCTCTCCAGCCACTGCAACACCCACAGATTTTTACAGCCAGAGGTTTTGAGACTTTAGTTTCCCGTGCTGGGACCTTGGTTTGATGGTTTGTCTGTCTTGCTCCCCAGTTGTTCCTCCCAGGTTACCCACATGTGAAATGTGGGAAATCCCATCTGCCAGCTGCTGACTCACCACGTGTCCTCTCTGCCCCAGCTGCCTGTCTCTACCCCTCCTACCAGTCTGGATGAATGTTTTTTCTTTAACTCCTTGGTTGTTGGAGTTCCATGCAATTTGATTTTCAGGCAGTCTTGTTGTTTTTTGTTCTTAAATTGGTTAACCTTCTTTTGGTTTTGCGAGGAAGTGAAGTTTCTACCTATGCCTCTAACTTGGCTGGAACTTGTTTCTGTCTTTTCTGGAAGGATTAGTTCTGTTCACACTGCCCCTGCTTTCCTGTCGTCTGTGGGTCTCCACACTCCTCCTGCCTTGTTCATCTAAGCATTGGAGTTTGCAGCCCCTAGGTGGGCATTAACTTTGAGTTTATAAAGAAAATTGAGGCTCAGGCAGAACAAGTAACTTGCCCAATGTGAAATAGTGGCAGAGGCTGGGTTTTCAACCTGGATATTTCAAATAAATTCTGTACTCTTTTCACTGTACTGACTGAAAAGGAGATGAATTTACCTCATTTATTTCACTCCACTTCTTTGCTGTGCCATGAGCCAGTCTTTAAGTGTGGGAATGTATGTTTCTCCCATGTATCACTCGTGTGTATATGCTCTGTGCCCCCTAGGCTACAAAAGCCATACAAATTATATTCTCCTTTCTGTCCAAAAGTATCTGATCCAGAATGTGCTGCATATTGTATGTTTGTCCAAGGACCATATTCTGTGAATCTAACTCAAAGCCACTTATTTTCTCATTGTTGTGTCCCAAAACAACACTGAATCATATTTTTTTAAGTGCTGCATTTTTAATTTTATTAAGAAACAAGCAAACACCTTCAACATATCAAATGCTTTAATTCACATTTCTGTCTGTAGGCAATGACCACAATATGGACCCAACACAACAAAAGCAATTAACACAGGATAATTACATGGTAGGTACAGAGCTCTGTGGCCAGAGGGATATGAAGTGCAAGAGGCCGGCTGGCTTCTTAAGTGGAGCCTTACAAATATCTTCAGTACTGTAGGATCAGAGATCTGATTCAGTTCACCTGCAAGTGATCAGGACCATGGCCCGAGCGGCTCTAAACTTCCATTAAATAGAATTACAAATCAGAGTGCCAGTTTGCCTGCAGGGTTCATTTGAGCACATCAAAGTCAAGAGAAAGACTGTTGGCAGAGCCCAGAACTGGAGTAATGAGAGCAAATGTCCTTTTGAGTTGCTGTCATCCAACTATACAAAGGCTGTTCCTTGCTCCAGGGATTTTCTCCTGATAACACAATCTCCTCCTCTGATCTTGATGCCAGCTTGCCTGGACAATGTGAGAGGAACAAGAAAAGCAACCTAACTTTCCAGCTCTCTCTCTTCAATATTCCACATCAGTCATCAACAAGTACCACATGCTGGAAATTTCCAAGATCATAGTTGCTCTTCTGTTAAGTGTGTTCTGCTTTGACACTGTCCTTCAACGGTGAGGTAGCCCAGGGTCTCCTTGCAGTGATTGAGTAAGTGTCCCACGTCTACGATACATTTCAACGTCTGTATTAGAAGGTGCCTTTTAAAAAAACTCTTTCTCCAGACCCTTGGAATGTACCTTTTCGAGACCTGCAAGCCTTGTGCACTGACTTCAGTCAGGGCCTGGGGGTGAACCCGTGCGCACATACCTACGTAACTAAAATTAACTAAATACAGAGACCATTTCTACACTTTACTAAGGTTAGAAATATGAGGAACAGAGGCTCAACAAAATGCCTTTAAAACTTGTGAAATAGCCAAGTGACCATATTCCAAACAGCAACGGAGACCTCCAAAATATTTTCACCAAAACATATGAGGTTTCTGAATTCGTAAAAATCAGTAGATAATTACCCATGTGATCGTCATTATAGTAGTAGTAACCAAATCCTTTGAAAAAGGGTGGAATCTCTTTTTGAAAAGAAGTATTTTATTTACTGAAGTCTTATCGGGACCAGCATGGGGCGGCACTGACTGAAGCGAGGACGCAGGAGTCGCTGGGCATCCGCTCTGCTGGCCCCCGAAGCACTGCCTGTCCTCCAAGACTCCAATCGTACATGGTTCACACCCCGTGGTTCTGCAAAAGAATCTGAGGCCACCAATTTTTATGTAATAGAGTTGAAAGAAATACATCAATTTGGATAGGCTACGGGCAAGTTTTTCCAAAGAGTTCCTTTAAAAGACAGATTTTTGGGGAAGAGTACAGTTCATGAAGAAAAAACAGCTTTGAGAACATCCAACTAATTCAATTTTGCTGAATTATATTCATCTGGCAAAGTCCTGGGTGAGCATGAGGTAGACCAGTGGCTTTAAAATTTCAGTGCACATCAGAAGCACCTGAGGTGCTTACAGATGAAGCCGGAGGTGCCTCTGGTCCATCTCCAGACATGGATTCATGAAGTCAAGTGCTGATGGCCTACGCCTTCATACTTGCGGTGTGCTCCCAGCTGGTTCTTATGGCTGTAGACAGCCTGCAGATCAGAAGTTGAGAGGCAGGAGATAGGCCTTAAAGGGAAAATTTGAGAAAGGCAGGGGAACACTTTTCAAAACCAAAACCAAAACCACCTCTTCGGTCTTGTTGCTGAGAAAACACCTTCTTCATTCAAATTGTGATAGAGTAACAATAACTACTTTTTCTTTTTAAATTTTTAGATTTTTAGAATAAATCTACCTACATTCCGTTGCCCACAACTAGGTAGAATGAAAAGAAATTCTGACTATGAAGTGCTGGTTCTTGCTTCAATATTATCATTTCAAGGGAAAACCACACAAAACTGTCATCCATTCTATTGAACTTTTCGGCTGAACAAGAACAAATTATGTATTTGGATCCACACAAATCTGTAAATTAATGTAACCTTCAAAGTTTTCCAGTTAGTGCCAACTTAAAATTCCATAATATACATTAAGTACAATTTTACTTTGCATTACAAATGCAAACTATCTTTTTTTTTTGACATGCTGGTAGTTTTCATTTTTACAGTGCAAAAAGGACCTTAAAATTTCTGAGTCATGATATATTTTGTAATTCTAAGTAGGCAAACAGATTTCAAAAAGCAAACACTATACATGTTTCTGACATACCTTAAAAAATAAAAATAAATAATTTTGATTATAAAATTTTTATAAACATTAGCTCCATTCAGCATCCATAGCCTATTGTTGCAGAAAACCTAAAACACACTTAAGATCATGTGATCTTACCATTAGACAATCGGCCTTTTAAAACACAAGTCAGTCTGATTTTTATTAAGTGTAACAAAGCACGGAAATTATCGCCATTTAATACTTATATAAGGGATCCATACGAGCTGCCAGGTGTCAGTATTTAAGCCACTAAGTTTACCAGGAATTAGGAATGCACAATATGAGCACAGTGAGAGATGAGCGAGATCAACACAGACGTGGAGATATGCTTTACTTCAGATATTTCTTCCTGAGAATACAGATGCTATTATTTAAAAACAATCAAGACAATTTTAAATGGATCAGGAAAATCTTATGGCAAATTATCTTTTGTAAAGTGAAAAATCCCTAGTAATGTAAACAATTGCTACCCTAATATATAGCTTGCGAGTTGTAATTATGTAAAACAAAACACATGCCTATACTTGTATTTGAAATGCTGGGTAAATGTGCCGAAAAAGTAAATTCTGCTAAAATAGAATGTTTTCTAATATGGTATTCTGAAATAACTTTCCTAAATAAATATTAAGTCTGAATGAGTGAATAAGGGAACAGGAAAACTTCATGAAGCGTCAGTAGGGGGAAAAAAACCTCGCTGGATTATGAAAACTGAAAAACCAATTTGTTTAAATAAATGACGGTGTTGTATATAAACCTATTTTAAATCCAATGTAACATTATGGATAGAGTACAGTTTTAACAATTAAAAAAACTACATAGTCATTTTATTTTAATTCTGATATTCCCAAATTAAATATATACTTTGATTCTATAATTAGCACTCAGAGTTATATAACAGATAAAATACAGTCAAAAGCACAGTGAATTTAACAGTATACAAGAGTTGGCAAAAGTAGGTTTGCAGTTGTTCGTATGGAAAATAAAACAATTAACAAGTAATACAAGGATAACTCTGTTTTGCATACTCACAACTGTAAACCTACTTTTGCCCACCTGTCTTTGTAAAAGGTAACATCTGGAACAATTCTGACCATGGATTAAAGAATAAAACCCATTATACTCAAAACATGATCAACTCACAGAAGAAAATCTATAAAACTCTCCCATTACTGCAATAGGTATGTGAATAAGGTGAAAATAGGTCTACTCACAAAAATCTATTAGTACTAGAATCTAGCATTTCCTGTTGAGATCTGGAAGAGGTTAATTTGAGCAAAATAAAAGTATTCTATATAATGTACTACTGTATACAGTGCTAGGTTGTTCCTGGGTCTGAAGGTGGCTGAAATTTAAGTTTATAGCAATTCATGGATGACAGATTCATAACAGATCCTTAAGGAGAGCTAACGTTATTTTGGGGGATACATTTTAGTCTTCCAGAGATTGGCGTTGTGAAAGACCACTGAGCACACAAACAGGCCGTTTGTTAGGAAAACGGCAGGCTGGAGGCCCAGGGGTCTGCGCCCAGCCAGCTGACAGGAGGGAGCAGGCTGGCTAGCAAGAGAAGAGCACCCCCTAATGGGTAATTGCAAGATTAGCCCTTCAATTAAGTTTTGTTTTTAAATTATATTTTATTACAGTTGTCCCAATTCTCCCCCCGCAATAAGTTTTTGGCAATTGAGGGTTGAATAAGATAACAAATCAAAACGTTCAGAATCCAAAAGTAGTCTGTCCAAACTTTCACTGCCCCCAACCCCCTTTTAAATTGAAGAACATTTCTGAAGGATGAGAATACCTGTCAGGAGAATTAAATTATGGGTTTTAATTACTTAGTTAATAGGCTACATTTCTGTCTGTGACTAGAATTTATGTGATCAACTTAACTTATTAAATAAAGTCATATATTGTAAACATTAAACACAGGTTACCACAATAAAGAAAATAAATAAGTAAAAAAATATATCTCATCTTAAAATAAATACGATAGAAACATTTTAGCAGAGGATTCTGTCACTTCCCCAAGGAGAAGCTACGTTAAGTACTTTGGCTATAAAAGACTACTGTATTCAAACTACTGTAAGATCACTGAATTTTTAAAATGTATCAATTATTACTGAACTGTTTTTGATACTTAATACAAATAGGAAATTTTCTTTAGGACACTTTTTGGATTGCTGATACTGTCCTTTAAGGAAAAGAGAAGTTGGTGAACTGTCCAGCTTCGAACCTCTAACTTTCAGTCCAAAGTCCTCTGAATGTTAATTTTTACCAATTCCCCTATGTGGTTCTGTTTTGGCCACCCTGGGTTATAAACAAGATGGTCAATTTCAGTAGCTCAAAATGGTCGCTACCAGGGTTAACCAAACAACATCTGGGGGTCCAAAAATGCTCTCAAAATAAAAATTATGATAAAAATTGTTGAGTATTGTCTTTCTTTTACATTTGTCCTTTTAGGGTTTCCTGGAAGTAAATTATTTTCCGATCCACTTGGTGCTGGGCTGCAGGAAGTCTTAAGAGGCGCCCTGCAGGAAGGTGCCCTGCGATAACCATGCTGGTCGGAAACCAGCCCTCTCCTTTCAAAAGAGCAAGTTAATTTTTCAAATGTTATGATGCCACCACATTAAAAATTAAGACGGAAGTGGTTTTCACACCCTCATCTGGCTGGATGTATAATGTGTTCATTAAACGTGTGGTGCAGGAATAAGGAAATGAGGGGCATCTTTCTGTGAGCCTCACTAAAACATAAAGCTATGAAAAAAACACTTCACCTCCATGTAAAGTTCTGTGACTTTTTAAAATGAGTACTATATGATCAAAGTGTTTTGTTAGAACAAAAACAAACAAAACAAAACAAAAACCCCAAACAGGCATTAGTAAACAACTAGATGTTTGGCTGTTTTTGGAATGCTATTTACAGAAATGCATATTCATCATACTACCAGTGACATTAAGACTAAATAGTTGTTAGAGAATCTCTGCTTTTGGATGGATATGCATTTACGTGTTTGTGAGGATTCCATTGTAAGTTTTCATTTCCTCAGCCAGCTACTCGGCTTCCTTCGCGTCCTCCTGATCCGAAGTACTAGAGATGTCATCATCTGTTTGTTCTCCAGAGAAATACAACATCAGTGCGTGCGTCTTGTGAGTTATGGTGACAGTGCAGGGCCCTTGGGCCCAGGGCTCCCCGTCCACCTGCATCGGCATCATCGAGCACTTCAAAATCAGCTGGTATCGGGGAACAAAGAATTAGAAAAGAGTCAGTCCCGAAGAAGTTCCAGAAGGTCTTCCTCCTTAATAACATCATCCATGGTCCTTTAGCCCTCCTGAGGGACATTTCTTAGCATTTCACTCTGAGAAAATTAATCTGAATATATTTTTATTCCTTGATTGTTTGCGGGAGGGGTGTCCAACCTTTTGGTGTCTCTGGGCTGCGCTAGAGGAAGAAGAGTTGTCTTGGGCCACACATTAAATACATAAACACTAATGAAAACTGATGAGCAAAAAAAAGGTTTTAAGTAAATTTACAATTTTGTGTTGAGCCACATTCATAGCCATCCCGGGCCTCATGTGGCCCGGGGGCTGGACAGCCCTGGAGGGATTCTCTTCCACTGAATGCTTTATTTCTTCAACTGGACTGAGGGCCGTATTTCCTGTTTCTTCCCCATCCCACTCAAGCCCTGGGGGAGGGTGATCAATAGCATGGGCTGTAAACCACTGTTTAGGAAAACTACGGTGTGTGTGTATTTTTCTATAGATCAAGGGCTTAGAAATGGACTGGGACAGATTGCCTGGTAGGGCTGTTTCACCTACCCGCACTGTATGTGCTTGTCCTATTCGAAAAGGATTTGCCAGTTTCACTTGAATCTGAGCACAGTGGAAAGACCCATATACACCAACGACTTCCAACAAACCATCATCATGTCTAAAATTAGACAAAGAAAGTATGAATCATACAATGCAACAGAATGAAATCAACCACATTAGGACAATTATTTCAACACAGGTGGACCATCAACTTATTAAATTTTTATATTAATGAAGTATACAAAAAAGGAAATCTGAGGGAAATGAGTCTATGAAGAACAGACTGCTTAAAAGCAGAAAACACTGGCATAAAAATGATAGATCGCAAGTGTACATACCTGGCTAGGGGGTAAGTCTCATCTCCCATCCCTTCCCACAGTCTGCAGCCGCCGCCCCAGTATCCAATGTTCAGAACTATAATACCTTCCAGATTAGGCAGTTCTACTCGCTCACCATCCAGTTCTAGCTTTAAAGAAATCCAAGCAGTTAGTTACTACAGGGAACATGATTTGCAGAGATATCCTCTTAGAATCCACATCCATTTGCTTAGCCCACAGTAATTTTCACCTCCTTTTTCACTTAGCTAACTCTTAATTTTCAGATTCCAGATTGTCACTTCTTCCAGAAAGACTTCCTTGTGACAGTCACTATCCCTAGACACTTTCTCCAGCCCCTGGGTTTATGTATCTCTTATTTGTTCCTGTAAGACAGCATGCTTTGTGATGCAGTTTAAATGTCTTTCTTCTCTCTAGACTACAACTTAGCGAGAATGAGAGATTTATCACTGAAACCCCAGTACCTAGCATGGTGCCTGGCATTTTGTAGGTGGCTTCACAAATATTTTTGTATAAATAAAATATCAAAAAAAATAAAGCGCTGCCTCCCATGCTTCACTGTCCCAATGCTCTCAAAGCCTAAGACAAAGGGAAGTGTGATAAAGCAGAAGGGATCTTTTTAAATGGAAAATCTTGCCGTTCTGTCTGTGCTGTGTCTTCAAAGGCTGTGAGGTCTCCCCTTTTTACTTATTTTACTAGTTCTAGGTTTCTCTGTATTAATGTCTTTGTCAATGTTATTAACCATTACACGTTCTTTTTGGAAGCAAAGCAAGAAATATACTCGTATATAAGACTTTGCTGTATTATAATGTCAGGGTTATTACACCAATCAGTTATCATGAATATCCTATTTTTACTGCTCATAGAGTTTTGTTTTGTAAGAGAGCAATGTTACCACCATTATATGAATTAAACTTAGGGTTTAAACTTCCTCTGCGAGTCCACGATGAGTCAGGCCCTGTGGCAGAAGCTTCACATTAGTCACCATCTATGAATGGCAACTGTTAATCACAGAGTTAAACAGACTCTGGAGTTATATAAATCTGGCTGAAATCCTGATTATGTGTGTATTTGGGCAAATTACTTAGTGTAGTGGGATAATGTGTATAAAACAGTAAAGTGTCTGGCACACAATGAATATTCCATATATGTTAGCAAAACAGGTCAACAGAAAATTTGGCATTTTTGTTTAAAAGAAATGTTCACAATCCAGAGACTACCTAAACTTTAAAAGCTTACCTCAACTTTTTTATTTAAGTCTTTACATTCTTGCACTAAACAATCTTTGGTTCCGTAGAATAAGTAAACAGCCTAGGAGAAATGAACAGAAAATAAGATGTTAAAGCAATCCAACAAGCTTGTAAGCAAGAAAGGGCACTGCACCAAAGGCCCTGACTGAGCGCGGAGTCACGGCTCCTGCCGGAGGGCGTGCTGGGCCCTGCCGGGAGGAAGGGGTGCCGTTACTTTTGAGTTCAGCCTGTTTTTCCGGGGGAATATGGGAGAGAGGTGGTTTGTGTCTAAAAGGTGTTTTCTCCCTGTCAAAAAAAGGGTACATTTTATACAGAAATACTATATTAAAGTTAGAAAATTCCACCTTTTTCTAGAACTTCAGATAAGGAATACAGATAAATCTAGCGAACATTTCATAATTACTCTTGAATGTAAAAAAAGGTTGATGGGAACACTGAGAATGTTGTTAATTACCAACTGTATAGACAGCAAAACTTATTGCATTAGTACCCATATTAATAAAGAAAACTAAATTTGAAATATTTGAAAAACAGAACCAGGAATAAAACTGTTTTGCATTTAATTTTCACATCCTATTGCTCCATCACAGTCATCAAAAGAAAACATTCTATAACAAAACTTCCACCACAGGAATCAACTCTACTAGAAACCAGAGCGATATTCTTGATGAAAAGCCATGGTAAACAAACTGCTCCTTCTCTTATCTTACCTGCCTTTTCAGGTTTCTTCAAGCCAATGAAATTTATTTTTCCATTAACAACTTCACCAAAACTGTATCCTGCCTAAATTTTCTTTTCATCATCAGCTGCCATTTAAGTAAGATAAGCCACTGAATATTCCACTTAGTTGCCCTCTAAGCAAAATGTGCTGTAAAACATTCCAACTTTAAATTTAAAACATTTTGTCATAGTTATAAAATACTTTAATAAAATACACTTAAGGATCTAATTTGGCAGTCTTACACAAAACAGAGTAGGTCAATGTTTCCACAAGTTAGTTCTATAGCTTAATCTACTTCAAAGGGTGCTAGATAGAATGGAACTATTGATTTTTTACTGTACCTTTGGCATAAGCCGGAAATGTTATTTTATCCAACACACCTTATTAAGAATTCTGCTAGAAAACAGAGATGGTGCCTTCTCACGATGAGCATGAAAATTGAGAGCCATGAGAGCATCTGGTCCCACAGAAAAATAGTTGTTCATTGTGAATTCCTGTGGAAGAGGTAAAAATGAGCCCCAGATTACGCTTTGGTCTAAGCCTACGTCGTGCATTCAATATGTACGTCTCAGTCTTTCATAAATTTTCTTTATGAAAATTTAATACTTTCTGCATTTATTCTTCGCATAGAGCTATTTTATTATGCTATCCAGTAACATTATCAGAAATAGAGCTTGAGTTCAAAGGCTGACAATTCATAGATACAAATTTCCCTTTCCATTTCTGTTTAGTATGTTACACCTCTGACCTTCACAACTAGAATGGCCCTACTTTGTGTCCGGGATTTCCACTCCTGTGTTGCGTATGTCAGTCTCAACCTAGGCTCTTGGGACCCCCCCTTAATTTACTTGACCTCCAAGCCCAGCCTGGACTCTTCCGTCTGTATCTCCAGCTCTGTCTTGCCCCTGAGCAATAAGCCTGAATTTCCAACTTCTTGTTCAAAGCACCACAGCTTCAAGATATGCTCAAAATCTAACTCATTTTCTTCCTATTCAAACCTGAAACTCTATTTTTCTTTTTAAAATTTTATTTACCTATTTTTGGAGAGAGGAGAAGGGAGAGAGCAAGAGAGGGAGAGGCAATGGGTGGATGTCTCTCATGCACCCCAATCTGGGACCTGGCCCGCAACCCAGGCATGTGCCCTGACTGGGAATCGAACTGGTGACCCTTTGATTCTCAGGCCAGTGCTAAATCCACTGAGCCACACCAACCAGGGCTGAAACTCTATTTTTCTGTTAATGTCATTTCTATACATGCAAGTCATAAGAACTAGGAATCTGGTAGTAATATGTATGTGTTTTCTCTCTTCCCCTAATACCAATCAGGTGCCAAGTCTTGATCAATTCTACCTCTAAAATGTCTTTGAACTGCCCTCATCCGAACATTCCCCTTGTTTTGCCCTCATGCAGGTGTTTACGCTATTTTCACACTATCTCCATTTTCCCCAAAGCATCTGTTGTTCCTTCTACTTTCCCGAACTTTATTAAAGAAGCAGCAACGATGGTAAATCTCTAGAACATAGTCAGTTCTGACATTCTTCCCTTGAAAATGTGACGTTTGATTTTGAAACACATACCAGGATGTACATGGTTCCCACCTGTACTAAGTAGGTAAAAGGCTGAAATCCTAAAATGTTCATCTTCCGGCTTTCCCCAGTCTGTGGTCTTTGGATCAGCAATCATTGCCTCAACAGCTACTATGACTTCAATTAATTTTTGTCTGTGGTGCTCTGAGCTCTTCTACAGGCAGCAATCGCAGATTCTGAGCAGCTTCATTGAGAAGTGCATCTCCCATGTCCAAACCAAGACTACGCTTGTCTAAAGCAGCAGGCAATTCCCCCTACTGTTTGATTTACTTTAGCAGCTGCATCCTGTATCAGGGGCTCCTGGATCAAGATGCGAATTGCCTTAAGCATTACCAGGTAATCATCATGGCGCTGAATCTGAAGGTCGGCCAAGGCCATTACACCAGCCTTAAAATGAGGATTACTTATATCCAAGTGGATCAATGGCTCTGCATTTTTAGTGGCATTGTTAGCATTTCTTTTTATTACCAGGTTTAAATCTAACAGCTAAACCAAGAAACTAGCCAATTCCTTCTTGTCGATCTTGAATCTTGAAAGGACAGCTAACACTTTTCAAAGAACTTGGTACAGCCACTGCTATGGACATTTCTTAAATGACTTTTGTCTTCAGTTTTATAATGTCTGATTTTCTGGTCTTCTAGCCAAATGATGAAATTTTAAAATTCCGTTTCGCCTTTGCAGTGGAAGCCAGCAGGTGTGGTAGTTGAGGGCCTCAGCTTGCGTTGGAACATGGTCCTGGCTTCTCGCTCCAGTCCCCTGGGCTCCGGCCAGTAGAGGAGAGGCGAGGAGCTGGGGGCGGCGCAGGCACTGGCGATGTTGTGAGAGCCAGAGCATCTTTTTAAAAATACAGGTCTGCTCTCTCTGTATTATTTGTTATTTGCCTGGAAAATCTTGATCCTTTCTCTGTTGATCTAAATTGTATTTACAAGGACCACTCACATGTGACCTCCCTGAAATCATCCCCGCCTGACCTACCGGGTCAGCACCGAGCCCCCTTGCACCGGTTCGCCCCCACAGCACTCTGTAGAGTCTGAGCCAGAAGCTGTGCTCAACTCTGCAGCACATGGGGTCTCTTCTGCTCCATAACTAGCTCCCTGCACAAAGCACCTCAACGACCCTGTGCCCACGACAGGCCCGGTCTTGCACAGTGGAGGCACTTGGTCATGTTTGCTGAAACCACTCCCAGCTCAAGCCCCGAATACATACCTTGGGTTTTCTCAGGTTGTAATATCCTTTATTTGTTATTTGAACTTTCCATCTGAAAAACAGAAGTTAAAAAAATTCGTGATTATTTCCAATTTATTGCCAATTAACTATAGTTATCACTAATCAACTCTGGATGCCTGGGAGATGAGGTCCCTCTATTAAAACAACATTTGAAAAATAAGCACATCTAAGTGAGTATGCAAATTTTGAGATAAGGATTCAGCCTCATTTATGACTTCAGTCCTTATATAACAACAAAATATTACAGCAACAAAATAAAACACCAGTATCTATGCAAAAGTACAACTAATGCAGTCTTTCATTTTTACATACATTTAACTTTATAACTTACCCAAGACTTCCTTTATAAACCAAACAATGTTCTCAAAACTCAAAAACTTACTTTTTGTGGGGAGGTGTAACTTACCTGTCCAACTTTATTGCATCTGCTTCCATCACATTTCTTAAGACCTGTGCAACTGGGATTTCTCCTGCATAACCTGTACCCCAGCCCAGAGTATTGGATAGGTCGTTGCCTGTTCCCAGAGGCAGGACCGCAACCTGTGGAATGTATTTTTCTTGTCCCTAGAATATGGAAGATGGAGCTTAGATTTTTCTCTTCCAACTATTTGTATGGTAATAAAATTTGGTAAAACAGAAAGACCAAAGCAATAAAGATACAAATAAAACAACTGCATGCCGTTTTGCTAACGTTTATGCTAACTGCTTACTCATTGTATTTCAAATTGCAAATGTATTCTCATATTCATCTGCTTAATAAAAAATATTGTATAATTATCTGAGAAGTGCTTCTGCGAAAGGCAAGTATCCAGCCTAACTTATAAAGCTGATACCTTGATCTTCATTTCATCAACTGCGTCCAGGACCCAGCCCACAGTCCCGTCCCCTCCACAAACAAGCACTCGAGCTGAGTAATGAGGAAGAAGCGTACAAAGTTGCAGGGCTTTGATCGGAGGAGTTTTAGTTACATCAAAAACCTAGAAATGAAAGAAAAATGGTTAGCTTTATCCAGACTGTCCTCCATTTGTGAGCATGATTTTTCTCTAGAGGAGTGCAGACACAGCTAAGGAACAACACTGGCTACAATGCATTTCTCTTTAGCAATATGCCAGGCTCTAGGTCCGGCTTTCCTTGTTCTTCATACCCTTTCTACTTAACAGACATTTATACAGCCTACAAAGTGATACCCCTGGTAAGTCCAGCACCCACCTGACACCATACATGTTTATTACAGTATTACTGACTACATTCCCTATGCTGTGCTTTCTATCCCAGTGACGATGTTGTCCCTGTCAATCTGAACTTCTTAATCCCTTCATCTTCTTCACCCAGCCCCCCAACCCCCTTCCCATCTGGCAACCATCCGTTTGTTTTCTGTATCTATGAGTTTGTTTCCATTAAGCTTATTTATTTGTTTTTTAGATTCCACATGTAAATGAAACTACATGGCATTTGTCTTTCTCTGACTTATTTCGCTTAGGATAATACCCTCTAGGTCCATCCATGTTGTCACAAATGGTAAAATTTCATTCTTTTCTACGGCCAAGTCATATTCCATTGTCTATATACACCACTTCTTTATTCATTCATCTATTGATGGACACTTAAGGTGCTTCCATATAATGGCTATTGTAAATAGTGCTGCAATGAACATGGATACATATATCTTTTCAAATTAGTGTTTTGGTTTTCTTCAGATCAATACTCAGAAGTGGAATTATGCCAGACTCTTTATTCATTGTGGCTCATACTGACACTGACTCTACAAATCACAAGTAAGCCTCACTGTATTGACCAGGAAATTGAGGCATAGGAAGGTTAAATAACTTGCTTACAACTCTCCTGATAATTAAGTGCTGCTACACAAATGCAGTCCTGTAGTCTGTCTATTACACAACACTCCCTCTTTCCTGTTCAAACGAAGCCAGAACGTGCTAAGTGTACTTTTGACAAAGATGCTAGGATCGTTCATATCTTTTAATTCTGTAAATGGTCTGGGAGAATATTTTAAAAGATGAAAATAGCATGTAAAGGTTTCAACGTGATGTTATGTATAACCGTACAACCTTAGAGACAAAGTCAACCTCCAACAGTGGTAGACTGGGTAAATATATTATGAGCTATCCATTTGATTAATTATCTTAGTCAATACATCTATCATTAGGAGGCCTATGTTGCAACGTGGAAAAAATTTTAAACTTTTAAGTAAAGGGAATGCAAATCTGTGTCTAGATTACTGTTCTAGGAGTGTTAAAGTGTAAAGCATAGACAATCCATGGAAAGGACATGGACAGATGAAAACATCTTTTTCCCCGTGGTTGTCTGTGAGTTTCGTAGCTCATGCTGAATGAGTCCCTGGTTTATTTTATGTCATTGGGCAGATCTCATACTAATCTCTTTTTGTCTTTAAAAAAAATTTTTTTATTGTTTATTCCATTACCGTTGTCCTACTTTTCCCTCTTTGTCCCCCTCTACCCAGCCCACCCCACACTGCCAGCCAATCCCCACACCGTGGTCTGTGTCCCTGGGTCTTTCATATATGTATTCGATGTATTTTTGTGGGAAAACCGCAGGTGGTTTTCTTTCCTTTTTTATTACTTTTATAATTTCAAGTTGTACAATGTTGAAAGGGAAAAATATAAATTGTAAAGAAAAAGTTACTGCCTTTCTGATTGTTGCACAATGGGTGGTTTAGTTTTTCAAAGCAGAAGCTGCTAGCATCAAACGTCAATCTTAAAGGCATGACCCTTTTATTCTGATTTTTTAATTGAGGTATAATTTACAGAAATGAAATTTACCCATTTCAAGCGAACAGTGAATGGCTTTGGTTAAGTGGACTGAGTTGGGCAACCAGCCCACAGTCCCGTGGAGAACTCTCGTCACTCCAGTGAGGTCCCTCAGTGTCCACGTGCAGCCCCTTCCGGTTTCTCAGCCTCAGGCAACCCCTAGTGTACCCTCTGTGTCTACCGATTTGCCCTTTCTGGGAAGATGGCATAAATCAGATCATACAACATGAGCCCCTTTCATCTGGCTTCTTGGACAGTTGGGTTGTTTCTACTTTTGACTATATTGCTGCTATGAATGTTTGCATAAAAGTCTTTGTGGGACATATGTTTTCATTTCCCTTGGGTAGATTCCTAAAAATGGGATTGCTGGGTTATAGGGTAAATATTGGTTTAATTTTTAAGAAACTGCCCAACTGTTATCTAATGTGGCTGCAACATTTTATATCCTTACCGTGAGCTCCTCTTTCTTAATATATTCGAATGGCTTTATACTTTTATAATTATTATTCTGTCCTATAATCAGGTGATATTGGTTTAAAGCATTAATAACCATTACAACTTAGGGAAAATGAAAAGCTGAAATGAAAAGATTAGTACAGAAAGGAAGGTTCTTTCTTTAGTTACCTGGACTGGGTTTAGAAGAATCCTGAATTCTCCCAACAGTCCTTCTCCCATGTTAGTTCCACTGCGAGAGTTGGCCAGGATTATTAATGGAGTCCACTGCTTTCCAAGCTTAGAGGCTAGCTAAAAAAATTAAGGTGAGTGAAAAGGGTCACATAACTCAAAATTGGTGAGCAATAAATTTTTCACTTCTTGGTAACAACAGTGCTGTAATTTGCTGAGAGAAAAACAGCTATCCCAATACACTCAATACAATATAAAAATGAATTCTAAGAATGGAAAGGGACCTTAGAGATGAACTAATTTAACTTCCACTTAATGTCTCATCTCTTCTACATCATTCTAGATAAGTCCTCCAGTGTATGCTTGGATACTTATATGAGAAGGAACTCACTAACAAGGCAGCCCATTCTACTGATAAATTACTTGAAAATTTTGACTTAAATTGAGTTAAAAATCTGTCTTTCAATAACTTTTATTCATGGCTCTAGTTTTGCCTTCTGAAGCAACTAGAAATGATTCATTTGTTTTCCCATGTAACTGCTGTGCTCAAACATCTGAAGCATAATATGTTGTATTAGTCTTGTCTTCTGGGCAATGCATTTCAAGTTCTTTCAACTTTGACTGCCCTTTCCTGGATGTAGTCTAATATATTTTAGTTTGCAATTTTTTTTTTAAAGTGAGGTACTCAGAAGTAGATTCAAGAATCCATATTTGTACAAAGCCCAAAGTCAAGTGAAGTTAACGTTTTCCAACCTAACAATTTCTTTCCTTTCCCCTTCTCCTTGTGGATGTAAACACTAGTGGAGATGTTCTGTGTTTTTTCTTAGTGATTCTCACCCATTGTGATCTCAGATTGGCTTAAGATGCATAGGGGTTGTACGAAGACTATTACTTTCAGGAATCATTTCTACAGTTCTTACATAGGGGTTGTACACTTAAAAATATGTATCACAATGACATTAAACATAATGTTTTTAAATTTTAAAATGCTTCTTTCTTTTGCAGAAATATTGACAAAGATGCCATTTAAGACATAAAAATCCTAATTTGGAGAAGACACAATTTAATTTTAAAATAGTTCAACTATTTTGGCATGTTAAAAGTAGAAAATGCAAATTTTTATAGTTATTCCTTAAGAGCTACATAAAGACTGAGAGATATATTCACATCAATTTTTAAACACAAACTGCAAAGTGTTGCCAATAGCTTTAATGTTCAACATTACTTGCAGGACTATATAATATGCAATGTAAATGCACCTCTAGGCTCCTTACCTAAAGTTCCAAATGGAAAAATTCTTCTAGAACAATGTGTGAGGAGAATTTATGTTTTCTTTTCACTGACAATCGTCATGAATTCCAAACCCAGCTGCTTATCAGAATTATCTGAGAACCATAAATAAAAAAAATGGATTCCTGCGATCTACCCATTAAATCAAATGTGATGATGGAGGTAGATTTAAGAGTCTGTGTTTTTAAAAAGCTCCCGAAGCGATTCAGAGGCAGGCAGTGATTTAGAAACCACTACTATAACATTTCCACTTTCCTTTTAGACATGAAAGAACACAGAGCCAAAATTTGTGGCACATCTCTAGGAACTGGGTAGGGTTTTATGGTTTCCCACAATGATTCTACTCACATACATGCAGTTTTAATTGGCTTAAGCAACTTTCTGGAAATCAGTTACAGAAGAACAAATAAACTGATTACCATTGCATAACCTGTTTTTTTGTCTTTACGCATCTGATTAATAGAGGTTAAGTAACTTGGTGGAATGATGAGGTTTTTGAATTCTCCAAAATCACACTTTTCATTCTTTAGGCTATTTTTCATACACTCATCATGGACTGTTTTCTGACACCAAATGCACCTGAGGGATGAAGAAACAAAGATGATAATTTAAAACCATAATCTTACTGATCTGCAGAGCAATCATTTTTGTCAAAAAAATTAAAACAGCAATTTCATCCCTATTGAGCAAGTAAAATGTGGCAAGTAAAAGATTTATAATTGTATCTACATACTGAAAATAGAGTAATACAGTTTGACCACACTTGGCAGTTTCACAGTGGTTCTTTTGGTCTAGGGCCCCCAAGATCCTTTCGCAGCGTCTTTGAAGTTAAAATCATTTTAATAATAATAATGTGTTATTTTACCCTCATTCTCTCAAAAGTGTACAGCGAAGTTTTCCAGAAGCTGTAGGACATGTGGTATATCAATAAACTGAATGCAGAAACAGATAGGAGAATCTGAGCTGACTTCTAAGCCAAAGAAATGTAGCAAACGTGTAAAACAAATGTCACTCTTTTCATTAGATTTTCATTTATTTTATTTTGATAAAAATACAGTATTTATGCTACCATGATCAATCTTTGAAAACAAGTATTAAAACAAATTCTCAGTTTTAATTTATATCATTGTAAATATCATTGTGAATAGGTATAAACCACATAAACAAAAGCTGATCTACAACAATAGTTCTGTGTATTATTTATTTGTGTTTTGGTTGAATTAAGTTCATGAGGCCTAAAGTCCTTACTGCTTAAATGCCCCACTGGCCTGGGTCCTCAGGGTCCAATGTGAAAATACTTTCACTTATATAACCATCCGTGAATACTAGTAAATACAGTAAAGCAGTCCATTTCTTGATAGTTCATACAAAGCTAATTGATAAGTTTGCCTGTGAAATACAGACAGAAAACATGTGCATTCAGATCTGCCTCTATGTGTGGAGCCATAGGGTTTCATTCTACGGGTGAAACCAGCAGGGAACAGTGCTGGAAAAGGTCCCAGGTTTCTACTGTTAATCTGCTCAGCAGTTAATCCTCTCACAGATAAGGCAGCTCTGACTTTATGGACAAAAGCAGGCTGGTTGGAAATAATGGTCATAGTTAAATGACTTAAAACAAAGAGAATAATTACTCTTTCACCTCAAGAGCAACAATCTTGGCTTTCTATTTTAAGGTTGTTTTTTCCGGTCGGATGTTCAGATTTGTCAAGTAATTATTCCTATTTACTGCTGAAAGAGTTATCTGCATGATCTGTTAAAGAGAAAACTCTAAAATAACTTGCATGATAACCTTCATCGATAATTGCTTTCAAACTGTAAAAGATTGCTTGTGCAGGTGAAGTATGGTGCCTCCTCCCACTGCTCTACTATTAACTTTATAACAGTATGCTATCGTTGAAAATAATCTGAAAGGATACCCAATGAACCATTTCACAATGGTTTCCTCCAGGAAGACAAGCGGGACTGAGGGAGAAAAACATTCATTTTTCACTCTACTTCTTTTTTAAATTGCTTGCGTTTCTAAAAACCAGAATATATTCGTGAACTACCTGTATTAATTTTTAAATTGTATTTTAAATTAGATAACATCAGCTTATGTTTGAGAAAGACCTAAAATAAAACTCACCTGGAGATAGCTACTCTTAACTTTTCTGATGTACTTACTCTTGGTTTTACAGTGCATAAATGTCTGGTTTTCAGGTTAGCGATTTCATGTATAGATAACTGGAAGTGTTTCTTTTCTTCCCACATTGTATCATGGATATGGGCCCATGCCATTAAATATTTTTTAAAAACACGGTTTGTAAAGAATGAATAGTGTCATGGGGATATACCATAATTTATTTAACCCCTTTTCTTTTTCTTTCTCCAAACATTCAGATAGTTTATTTTTCTAAATAACATGATGAACAACCTTAAACATAAATGAGACTATTTTTCTGGACTCTTAGAAGTCAAGTTACTGAATTACATTTTCCTAGGGCTCTTAATATGTCTGTCCAATATGCTTATCGGTGCTTAAAGGTATCCATCATATGCAATACTTGTTCATTAGGACCTAATATTTTTTCTTTGATGAGATAGAATACTATTTTGTTGTTTCCACTTGGATGTCTTTGACCACTAGATGAAGCTGAATTTTTCTTTCTCCTTCTCTTCTGAATTTAGTCATGCCCTATATTTTAATAAATGCATACACTTTTTATTTGTATAGGATATCAACCTCTTTCCTGAAGTATTTATTAGTTTTCTTTTAAAGTTAATTTTTAATGTACTTATTTTTTAATTTAAGTATATTTTGATTATGCTATCACAGTTGTCTCATTTTTTTTTCTTCCATTTATCCCCCTCTGCCCTGTACCCCCACACCCTCCAGCATTCTGTCCTCCCTTAGTTCATGTCCATGGGTTGTAGATGTAACTTCTTTGGCTTCTCCATTGCCTATACTATTCTTAACCACCCCCCATCCTGTCTATTTTGTACCTACCATTTATGCTTCTTATTCCCTGTACCTTTCCCCTCATTCTCCCCTCTCTCCCTCCCCACTAGTAACCGTCCATGTGATCTCCATTTCTGTGATTCTGTTCTAGTTGTTTGCTTAGTTTGCTTTTTTTTTAGGTTCAGTTGTTGATAGTTGTGAGTTTGTTGTCATTTTACTGTTCATAGTTTTCATCTCCTTTTTCTTAGCTAAGCACCTTTAACATATCATATAATAAGCACTTGGTGATGAGGGACTTAATTAACTATCTCATCTGGGAAGTACTTTATCTGCCCTTCCATTCTAAATAACTTTGCTGGATAGAGTAATCTTGGACATAGGTCCTTTCGTTTCATGATTTTGAATACTTCTTTCCAGCCCCCTTTTGCATGTAAGGTCTCTTGAGAAATTAGCTGATAGTCTTATGGGAATTCCTTTGTAGGTAACTGTCTCATGTCCTCTTGCTGCTTTTAAGATTCTCTCCTTATCCTTAATCTTGGTCATTTACTTATGATGTGTCTTGGTGTGTTCCTTCTTGGGTCCAATTTCTTTGGGACTCTCTGAGCTTCCTAGGCTTCCTGGAAGTCTATTTCCTTTGCCAGACTGGGAAAGTCTTCTTTCATTATTTTTTTAAATAAGTTTTCAATTTCTTGCTCTTCCTCTTCTCCTTCTGGTGCCCCTATGATAGTATGTCGGGATGTTTAAAGTTGTCCCAGAGGTGCCTCAGCCTCTCCTCATTTGTCTGAATTCTTTTTTTACCTTCTTTTCCAAATTGTTGATTTGAGTCCCGGTTTCCTTCCCTTCACTCTTGGTTCCTTGTATATTTTTATTTCACTTTGCATAGCCTTTACTTCTTCCTCTCTTTTGCATCCGTACTCATTCATTTCTGCAAGCATCCTAATTACCAGTGTTTTGAACTCTGCATCTGATTGGTTGTCTATCTCATCATTTAATTCTTTTTCTAGAGTTTTGATCCATCCTTTATTTGGGCCATAGTTCTTTGTCTCGGGGCACCTGTTATGTTGTAAGGGGTGGAGCCTTAGGTATTTGCCAGGAGGGGCAACCCAGGTTGCTGCATGGTGACACTGTATGTGGGGGAGGGGTCCGAGAGGGAACAATGCTGCTTGCTCAGCTCTCACCCTGCTTTCAGTCACTTCCCCTGCTACCTGCCAGCAAATTGGGCCATAGGCGCTGGTTCCCAGGTGGGTGGGCTTGTGTATATTCTAGGACCCCATCGGTCTCCCCAGTGAACTTTCCAGAGAGGCTAGGAGTTTCTCCCGCCACTGCAACCCCTACAGCTTTAACAGCCAGAGGTTCTGAAGCTTTAGTTTCCCATGCTGGAATGCTGGGTTGCACATTCTGTCTCGCTCCCCAGTTATTCCTTCTGGCTTATCCTCATGCAAATGTGAGGCCTGTCTGGTCTGCCAACCACTGCCTCACCTGCCAGGTCCTCACCCACCTGGTCTGTCATCTTGCTGCCTTCCTCTTTGCCTCAGCTGCCCATCTCTGCCCCGCCTACCAATCTGGATGAATGTTTTTTCTTTAACTCCTTCGTTGCCGGCCTTCCATACAGTTCAACTTTCTGGCAGTTCTGTTGTTTTTTTTTCTGTTTTTTAATTTGTTGTCCTTATTTTCGTTGTGCGAGGAAACAAAGTGTATCTACCTACGCCTCCATCGTGGCTGGAAGTCCTATTTAAGATTATTTTTTTCATAGATCTATATTTCCCTTTGTGGTTTATTTAAATGCTTTTAAGCTGTAAAGAGTTATACTTCTGCTGCCTGATTTTCTGAAAAAAATTTTATTGGAAAACAGCTATACCTATTCTTTTAAGTATTGTTCACAGCTGGTTTTGTCAAGTTAACTAATTATGATAGACTATATGGTCTGCAAAGCCTAAAATAACTTAGTTTTGGCTCTTTACAGAAAAAGTTTGCCCATCCCTGTTCTAGAAGATGATTTGCTATTTTCCAGTGTTTTGGAAAATTAATAAAGTAAATAAACACATACCATCAGAACAAGAAATATAAAATTTAAGATCAAAACAGACTAAAGCTGACAATGTAATTACCTTCTGAGAGTCAGAAGCTTTATTTCAGGAATCACTGTGTGTGTGGGGGGGAGGGGTGTCTGGAGGGTAGAGTCGGATGTAATGAAGGCCGGCCTCACAAATGGCCTTATAAATAAAAAGGCGCCTAGCATTTTCTTAATGAGAAAGAACGCAATAAGGAACAAAGGTTTATTTTCAAATGTAATGAATACTTACAAACCTAATTTCCTATTTTAGTTTGGAAGAGAGGTGAGAAGAAAGAAAGGAGGTATAAGGAAGGAGCATTAAGACACTCGGTGTAGAAATACTTTGTAGTTGCTGGGATGAGAGGCAGGAAAACACAAAAAAAGAAAAAATCTACAGGAAAATAAGAATCCAGCACAGTGTGTGGCACAAAATAGATACTTACAATGTGAAAACTAATAATGACTGATTGAGTATAAATTAAAGGGTCTTTGTCACTTATCTGCAGAGCTTAACTGGGCTGCAGGCTTTAAAATCAGGTATCACTTGTCATTACAGCTCTTTGAAATGCTAACTTGTTGTACAGTATTCATTGTTCATTTAAAATCTCAGACTTTCCAAGAATAGGAGCCTCCATACTGCTTGATAAAATCCAGAGAGAGACAGAGACAGACACAGACAGTATGGTCTGTGTTTAAAAGTTCTAAATAGATAGTTATCTTGTTTCTCTTTCTAAAATACTTCATTCCCACAGAAGGTCATAGCTGATTGCAATCCTGAATAAAATCATTGGCTAAAATAAATCAGAGCATTACAGAATATATACCACTTCAGGACACTGTGCTCTTTTCTTCTGGGAATAATAACCTTTCCTAAATTACACAGAGGCAATTTCTACCATGGGCAAAAGGTTCTAGCATGCTTAGAACAGACTGCTCAGTACTAGTAAGAACAAGCTACTGAGGAAACAGAGCTCTATCATCACATTCACTGTGCTCCAGGGGGCACTGAGGGGACACAAGATCAAGGACAGGGGCTCATGTTTAAAAAGCTACATAAATTCAGAGGTAGTTCTGCAACTTTAGAATTACCTGCAGGGCCTGTTAGAGCCAAGATTGCTCATCCCCAGCCCAAGTTTCTGATTCAGTGGGTCTAGGGTTGCCAAGAAAAATAAAAGATGCTCAGTTAAATTTGAATTTCACATAAACAAATAAGTTTTTAGTATAACTATGTCTCAAATATAACAAAAATTTTATTTTTATTTCATTTGCTAAATCTGACAACCCTAAATTTGCATTTCTAACAAGTTTCTAAGGGATGCTGTCGCTGCTGCTGGTTCCGGGGACTTTATTTTGGGAACTACAGGGAAACAGGATATTATGTCATCAAGAAGGAAAAATTTGGGGGCGGGAGTGAGTAGATCATCAGGCAAAGGTTTCTAGAGGAAAGGGCTCGAAAATGGTCAGTAAGAAAAAGGAAACCACAACCCACCTGATGTTGCTGGTACATGAAAGATTAATGTAGGTGGTGGCAGGTAAGACTAAAAGGACAGGCAGGGTCCACAGAGTACGAAGGACTATGTTAAGCACGTGGAGTTTACACTGAAAGACCATCAGTGTATTGGAAGGGGACAATGGAAGGGTTTAAAGCAGAGCAGAGACTCTGTCTGATATGAATTTCTAGGAAGGTCATTTGGGTGGAGAATATAAGCACTATGTTTATTTGTGAAGGAGTATTTAAAACACAGTTAAGATACTTAGAAGCTGTTTTTTTATCTACTTCTGCATAACACAAAGAAGGGAAGGAAATAAAACAATACTCAATTCATGTCTTCTTTCCAACTAATCCCAACTCTTGAAGGCTAACGTTTACTTACAGAGAGAATTATAAAATTTAAAGACATTGGTAACCTCGCTTTCGCAGATACCAAAAAGACAACATCTAAAGTTGAAAGACAGCAAATAAAAATGAATGGTCACAAAACTCAGTAGTTGTTTAAAATAAATTTTTTGGAAAAGTTTTCTTAAGTTTAAATCTGATAGTTAAAACTATTTAAAATAAGACTGAACAATAGGTGTTGACTTAGTGCTCACACTAATTTAAAAAAAAGGATTTTTAAATAAAGAAAAAAACCAGACAAAGTCACTTGCTATCTAGCACCAGCTATTTCAGTTCGTAAACATGTTTAGAGGCTGTTCTATTTGAAATAAAACCCTTCACAATGAAGACGTCCAGATTTAAGGCCGAGACAAGGCTACATATTAATAGCATTCCTAGCCCTGTCCAAGGGGTTAGAATTGCTGGATGCTTGTTCTATTTTATCACTGAGTACAATTCCTTCAACTGTTAAATGAATTAGAATAGATGATCTGCAAAGTAGCATCCCCCTTTTATTACCAATCTCTAACGTGACCCTCACCCATTTTCAGGCAATATTTAAGAACATAAACATGTATTATCCGGTGTGTATTTAAAAGCCATTAATATACTCTTAGCTTTTAGTCACAAAATCTCTTAAGATGCTACATGTCCTGAAAGGCCACTGACAAAGGTGCTATATGTCACTATAACACTGATACCTATATTTGAAAAAGGTACTTAAAGTGTTGCTTTGGAATGACACTTGTTTTCCTTGTACATTCATAACACAACACTGAGGACGAATCAAGTCTTCCAGCTCTAGGGAAAAGCTAACTTGCCCATACTTCATTTTTTCTTATGTAAAATGGAGATAATAGCAACGAAAGCTAAACTGTAATACAGTGGCCATGAGGTATGCAGCCCTTAAGAGACTTCTGGATTAAAGTTGAGAGCCTACAACACGGCAGACTAAAGGACAGGTTGTCTGAGCAATGCGGCTACATCATCTCAGCATATGACTATTGCAAAGCTGCCCTGTTTGTACGATACCAGGAATGTTTATTAGCTTGTTTCCTCCACGTACGCACTTCAGGTCCTTTGCCGAGATCAAAGCAGGCCTCGACGCCCACGCCCTGAAATCCTGACTCCTAATGCATATTGTGGGACAATCAGCACCCTCAAAGGCCGTACCTGTAATCGCAGAGCTTCGGCTGACTGCCGCACTGCTGCTTGCAAACCACACAGTAACTGCACAGGGGGACGTTGCCCCGGATCCAGTGGTGAGGCATGCTGTCCAGGGCCCTGCCGTCGTTCTTGAGCATGATCTCCTTGCACTGGAAGCGCTTGTCGGCCTTCTTGAGGCAGCCCTCGTCGACGCGCAGTCCGCAGCAGTCGCAGAAGGCCCCCTGCAGGATGTGCTGCGCGCACACGCAGCAGTAGGTGGGATGGCTGAACAGGTCCGTGTCCCGCCAGCCGTGCTTGCTCTTGCGGAAGATGTCCCTGCGGTGCAGCTGCCGGCGGGACCGCTGAAGGCTGCACCAGAAGGTGATGAACACCGGCAGCAGCACCGAGCACAGAGTCCATAGGATCAGGTGCCCGTCAGCAAATAGGCCCGTGTAGGGCTCCGGCTGCTTCTCCCCTTCCATCTTCTCCAAGGACGATTCCTACTAGAAAGACACAGGCGCGTCCACCTCCAGCTCGCTGTGCCCACCCTACCTTCCTTCCTGCTTTCAGGGCAGGTGTGCTCAGGTGGCTCCGCTTATCCGGGGAGAAGAATGTACACCATCTTCCCCGTGGCCGGACCCAAGGCCTCCCGTTCCCCCGGCCCGTGGATCTATTGCGCTGAGGGGGCGGTGCCCGGCGCGGTCACGCGCGGTTCCCTCCCTCCTCCTCCGGCCCCTACGGGCTCCTCCTGACCTCACCTGCACGGGACTGGGAACAGCAAAAATTTACTGGTTGCCCCCGCCCCGCCCCCCGCGAGCAGCCCAGGGGTCTAAGCGCGATGGCTCACGTGGGACGCGCAGCGCCGGCCAGCGTCCTTAACCGTTATCCCACACACTCCCCTCCAGGCCGCCGGGTCGCCAATAGACGCATCCAGCCGCTCTGCTGGGCTCGGCCCCCTGAAGCCCCCACTGCCCACTGCCCTCCGCCCACCGCCAGAGCAGCCCTGCTCCCGACCCCTTCGCTACGCCTCCCCGACCTCGGCCTCCGCGCCTCCCCCGCCACTGCGGCCCTACCTCGTGTGCTGCGGGGGCGCGGTTCCAGGGGGCCAGGCCTGAGCCGCCCTCCCGCCTGGGCGCAGCCTCGAGCAAAAGCCCGATTTCCGATCTGCCAGGGGCGCCTACGTCAGTGAAATGCGGAGACAGCCCACAAGCCCAAGGAGCTGGGTGGGCGGGCACCACGGGGGGCGGGGCCTGCGGCTTGAGCTCCAGAGTGGGGCGGGGCGGGGCGGGGCGGAGCGGAGGTGTGAGGTGGCTGAGAGGGCGCAGTCCTGAGGGGGCGGGGCCTTGGGAAGACGGTGGGGCTGGGTGAAAACAGCGGGTGGCCGAGGGCGTGGCTTAGGGAGAACAGTGGGCAAGAGTAACAAGAAGGTGGCGGCATCGGGAGACGGTGGATGGTGGAGCCTTATAAATCTGCAGCCCCAGAACGTTCTATCTAGTATGAGGGGACAACTGTAACTGAACAACAGTACAAAATTTTTAAAAGTTCTAGTGTGAATGATTTACAATATGAGTAAAGCTTATCAATGACCTTAAATCTACCCTCCCACTGGTGGAGATGGGAGCTGGCAGTTTTGAAGGTTGAAAGGTAGAAAACTGGCAGTTTTGAAGGTGTAATATACTAATAAAATGGGACAATCCATGTCAAAAATTGACATGTCACCTGAGCTCTTGCTAGTCATTAAATTCATACTGATGGAAGGCCTACTATGTGCCAAGCACTGTGCAAGGAGCTCCAGCTCTCACAGAGTGCCAGGCCTGTTGAAACAAGATGCATTTATTAGCCCTGCTGATAACGCCCAGCTTCCATCTCTGCACTTGCTAGGCACCACCATGAGTTTAATAATCCCCATTTTCCAGATGAAGAAAACCAAGGCACAGACCAGCTGAGAAACATGTTTGATGTGACAAAGCCAGTGAGTGTTGGGACTGAGATCACTTTGTTTTAAGTTGGTCACCGAAGTTAACCTTCAATCTAAATTAAGCCATCAAAAAGAGGCTTGCTTTACTTTTGTTATTTCTCTAAGAAACTTGCCCCCAGGGATCTTGTTAACATGTAGATTCTGATTTCCTTTCTTGGGGAAGGAGCCTGGGGTCTACATTTCTAACAAGTGACTCTGGTTTAGCTGGTAAAGTATGTAACAATTGGGATTCTGAAGAGGGAGGGGAAAGTGTGATGAAATGGGAAAAGTGTTCGATGGCATGGTCAGGCCTGGGATCGGGTTCCAGCCCTCTGTCTTCCTGTGCTTTGTCAGTTCACCTCTCTGGGCCTCAGGTTCCTTGTTGGTAACATGGGAGGGTTGAACGAGATCTCTGAAGCCTCTCTACTGCTCTGGTAGCCTGCTCTGTATATGGAATTTCATTGTCTTTTATATCCTAGTTGAGGCAGAGCCCTTAAATCAATTTAAATTTGAAAAGGTAACAAGAGAATCTACTTTTAAAAAGTGACATTAAAAAATTCCTATTATAGAACATTTGGAAAATACAGAAAAGTAAAAAGGAAGAAAAAATAATCATTCGTCTCTCACCCCAAAGACAACCTATGTTTGAACATTTGGTCTATTTTCTTTTATTGTTTTCTATGAAAACCTTGTTTTACTTTTTTGTATACATAATTTTGATAATATAGGAGATATAGTCTCTCTCTGGCTATTTTTTCATTTAACACTACAAAATAACTTTTACATGTTTTTATAAACTTGTGTTTAATGGTTGTTTAATATTCCATTCTATGACAGTGTTGCAGGTGGGCACAGGTAACTAGGTTCTTGGTGATTGCAGACAAAGAATTCCACCAAACACACAGAGAGTTAATAGCAGGAAGAGCAGATTTATTAAATGATAGTACACTACACAGAACATGGGAGCGGGCCAACTCTGAGCAGAGAGTGACCTCAGGGCCTGGAGGGATTCTAGTCTTATAGGGCAGATATTTCCTGGCTTGTTTTGGCGGGATTTTATTGTGCATGTACAAGTAAAGCCACTGCACTTGTGGTCTCCCATGGTTTTCCTTGACTGGCCACTGGGGAGGGGGGGTCCCACAATGTTAATTTATTATAATACTATTATAATGAAGCAAGGGTCCTGTAGCACCTTCTGGGCAGGTGCGTTCATGATTCCCCATCAATCAGTGCTTTTCCAGAAAGCAGGAACAACCGGTCTTAGAACAGGATCTCTGTCCTGGGTCAATGTCCTTTATTTTAGCCCTGGGGCACCTCTGGAGTTTCTTCCCTCTGGACTATCTCCTGCCTCAACAGTTCATAGTATATATAACCTTACCTCTGTTGTTGGCTATTTAAGTTGTTTCTAATATTTTGCTATTTTATGTACCTACTCTGTTTATGGTTTTCCCCTTAGATTCTCATTTATCTAAAGAGTTTAAAAAGTGTAAAACTTATGGAAAAGTTTATAACAATAATAGTCTCTCTTTGCTAAATGAAAATTATCAGGGAAATTTATCTGTATGGGAGCAGACTAATAGATAGTATCACATCTGTGGAAAATACTTTTTAATTACCTCCACTAAAGGTAATAGTAATTATAATTATTATAGCCAACCTGTGCTGTCTGCTCAATAGATCCTAGGCACTGGGCAAAGTTTGTTATTGTCATTTTACACATGAAGAAGGCTTGCTAGATATCACACAGCAAGGAGTCAACTGAGTTGGGGCTTCGAACCCAGTCAGTCTGATGCCAAACCCTGCAAGGCTCTCAACCCAGGTAGGTATTTGAAGGTGATCTTTGACCACTTGCATCAGCACCATCTAACCAGGCCTTGACCAGGTCTCTGGAATCAGAATTGTAGTGGAGCTAGGAAACTATCTCCTTTTCTACAGTTTCCCCAGGTAATTCTCTTATTAAAATTTTTTTTTTGGTTTGAATTTTGAAATATATGACACATACAACATATTTTATAAAGCATATGCACAGTTAAAACATAATAAACGCCTGTGGACCCACCACACACTTTAGCTTGTTGGACATTGAGGGAGGAGGAAGAGAAGGAGGCAGGAGGGAGCCCAGCCTGGGTTGAAGTCAGCTGGGAGGAGACCCTGAGCACCCTGCGTCCTGCCTGCTGCAGGGGACCCTGAGGAGCCCTGACTTTGGGGACAGACAGCACACAACAAGAAGGGGCCTCCAGAACCTGGCGTGACAGCCAGGTACACCAGTGACGAGTGGGGAAAGAATCTCAAGCAGCTGCAGCCACTCTTGTCTGCGAAAACGCTGGCTCCATTTCCAAGGAAAACCTGCTCAGAAAAACACAATTACACAGGGACACTCACATACCATGGCCCCATGGACTGATGACTTTCAACATTCTCAGAAACCTCCCTGCACTTGCCTGAAAGGTGATGTCATTGGAGTTTGTTCCCGGCTCCCTCAGCAACCCAGCCTTATCTCTGCTTTGCATGGTCTCCTGGATCCACAGGGGAACATTGTGCTTCACTTAAGATAGCAGAGAACGATCTAGATGACTGCCTGAATTTTCCCTGAAGCGCCCCCCCCCTTCACCCGCTGGGTTCTGGGAACATGCTGAAGCTTCTCTGTGAGCCATCAGGGCACCATCAAGTTGACTGAACTTTCCAGTTTCTAGAAAAGTAGTATCAAATCACCCTAAAAGGCGCCCATTTTAAGGGTACAATTCGATGACTTTTGACAAATAGGTGCATCTCTCTAACCAGACTTCAAGTCTTCCAGAATGTGCAATTTCTGTGGGGTTTTGAGCCTATGAGTTGAACACATAACATGGCAACGCTTTCTAATCAGTGAGCAAGATAACTAACAGCCACCAGGGAGGACCGGCATTTGCTGGTCAGACTGTAAGAGAAACCTTTGCCTAGTTGGCGGATGGAACTGGAAAGCGAGCCCGTGATGCCAGTTCGCCGTTTGGAGCCACATATCTTTCTGAAGTGCCTTTTTAGTTATCAGAACCATGGGACCAAGTGTTAAGAGCAAATGAACTTAGAACCAGGCTTCTGAATTGTTGCATCACCAAGTGTTAACCAAGATTTTCAAAAACAATGCAACACATTTAATCACATTGCCACTCACTAAGAATATTATAATCTGTATTTGAGCGAGAGCATATTAATTGTATTGTTCATAAATAAGCCACCAAACTAAAGAACATCGGGAGCCGCTCCTGTGCCGATCTGATGGCTACCCCTCCTCCTGCCTTCGGGAAATTACTATCCTAATTTTTGTGTTCTTCACTCTCTTGCTTTTCTTTATAGTTTTACCACCCCTGAAAGTATCCCTAAACAATGTAGTTTTGTTTAAAAAACAACAACAACCAAAACCTAGCCCCATCAGGAAAGAGCAGTGAAACCACTAATGCATAAAGGCTCCCTGGAAGAGATACGCTGAGAGGGGTATGGGCGGAGTCAGGATCCAGAGTCCCAGAGAAGGTCCCAGCGCCCTCCACCACCCCCCCGGGGAAATCAGTGGGCAGGGTCCTGGGAAGATTGCTAATCACAGTGGGGACCAGGAAGCAGGGCTGTAGTTTGAATGTCAGGCAAAAACAGAGCTGGGAGACGGGTTGCTTTCTATTTTGCCTTCTTAGCGCATCAGGGCCTCCCTCAGGTTTTTGGAAAAAGGTCACATGACACGCTCCTCGGGGCCGAAGGAGCGTCTCCCGCCGACTGTGGGGTTAGGGGAAGGGAGTGTTACCAGCTAATGGCCATCAAGATGCACAGAGTACAAATACAGTGTAATCTGTCCCAGGTGGAGCCGGGCAGTCTGCGCTCCGTGTGTCTGCGCCTCACGGTGCCGATGGCATCTCGTGTCAATCCGGACCGCCTGCCCTCTGTGTCGGAGCACAGCGGTCATCCTGAAGTTCCCTTCACCACCCTCCTGTTCCTATCTCGTTTCCTAGGTCTGTGGCTTCCTCTTTCTTGGTAAATCCCCCCCCCCCCCACTTTTTTGGGGGGAGCACATCTGTCCGTAACTTTCAGAGCAAGGGTACATGGGAGGCATCATTTTGAGTCCCTGCATGTCTATACATTTCTTCATTCTACCCTCCACACTTGATTGTTTATCTGGTATAGAATTCTAGGTTGGCAAAATCCTTCCCAGCATTGAACACATTGTTTCATTATGGTTTGCTGTTAATGTTGCTGCATAGATGG